AACTTGAAATTTTAGGAATTTGAAATTTTGGGAACTAGTTCAGGCCGTCATCCTTCACACTGTACTCAAATGTTCATCTAATTAGAACCACAGTGTTGCAAATCTTACAACTGCTAAGATGTTTTATATGAGAAGAAACAAACTTTCACTTGTACATTTGGAAAGAAAAGAAAAAAAAATGACAAAGAAAAAAGAAAAAGATTTGGTTCTTTTAAAAAATGTGATTCGATTCACGTTAAGGAGCTGTTCAAAAGAGCCGGCTCTTTCACAAACGTCACATCACGACTAAAAACATGTAAAGCAAATATCTTGTGCTCATTTGATTACATTTGAAATATGGACTTTTGAAATTTTGGGAACTTGCAATTTTGGGGTCTCAGTCAGGCCATATACCTTCCACTGTATTCACAAATGTCCTCTAATTAGAACCACAATTTTGCAAATCTTACAACTGCTAAGATGTCTTACATGAGAAGACACAAACTTTCACTTGTTCATTTGTAAAGAAAAGAAAAAATGACAAAGAAAAAGATTCAGTTCTTTTATAAGTGAGAGCTGATTCATGTTAAGGAGCCATCACATTTCACAAACATCACATCACTAAAAAAAAAAAGACTAAAAACATGTATTTCAAAATCCTGGTGCTCATTTGATTCAATTTGAAATATATTCTATTATATTATGATATTTGAAATATGGACCTTTGAAATTTTGTGAACTTGAAATTTCAGAGGCTCGTTCAGGCCGTCATCCTTCACACTGAACTGAAGCTCGACCTCTAATTAGAACCACAGTTTTACAAAACTTACAACTGCTAAGATGTTTTATATGAGAAGACACAAACTTTCACTTGTTCATTTGTAAAGAAAAGGAAAAAAATGACAAAGAAGATTATTTGGTTCTTTTAAAAAATGTGATTCGATTCACATTCAGGAACTGTCAGAAGAGCCGGCTCTTTCACAAACGTCACATCACGACTAAAAACATGTAAAGCAAAAATCTAGATTCAATTGAAATATGGACCTTTGACATTTTGGGAACTTGAAATTCTGGGGTCTTGTTCAGGCCATCATACCTTTCACCTTTAGAATTAGACTCACAATTTTGCAAAACGTACAACTGCGATATCTGTGTCATATTTATGTGTCATGTATGAGAAAACACAGACTTTCAAAAGAAAAGAAAAGAAAACCAAAATTTGTGCTTTTTTACAGAATCTTACCTAAATATCTTGTGAGAATTGGTTTTCCTTCAGTGCACATACATGTGTTATAACTAGACTTGAATCATATGCTGACTTTGGTACAATATTTAAACTATAACCTTTTTATTTAAACATTAAATCTATAGAGAATGTGTTTTTTGTTAATATATCCCATCATTGTCACTTCATCTACCGTCACAGTAGAGATAATGCAAATTGAAACCTGTTTTTGTCCTTATATATAATTTATTAAAGCTGCATTGTGTAACTTTTCCACCTTTTTTTTCTTTAGGGAGATTATCATAGTTATTGCTTTGCTTGGTATGTTCCACAGTATGGCATTAAAAGTGTTCAGCCTTCGTTTGTTTTATTGTCCTGATCTGTACCTTGTCCTGCTTGTCTCCATGGAGATAGATCAGTTTAATGCCATACTGTGAAACATTCCAGGCTGAGCAGTTAACGTGGAGACCAGTGTGTGAAGAAAAGTTACACAGTGCACCTTTAAATGATAAGTCTATCCAGATAAACAATGCATGAAATTAGAGAAAAGCTTGTCCAGGTGCCCCTATTTTTTGAAAGAATACGTTTCAGTTTTCCCCAGAAATCTTTGCAGCTTCTTGTGTGTGTGTCTCTCTCTCTCTCTTTTTTTTTTTTTATCCGGACACATTTTCATAGCGGTACATGCTGGTAGCATTAAGAAAATCCTGAAGAAGAGGTTGTGTCCATGAGGGATTTATGTAGAGCTGTGGGAGAAGGAGAAGAAGGGAGGGAGGGAGGGATGGAGAGAGGGAGGAGGAGGGAGAGCAAGAATGTAATGGTTATTAATGACCGTGTCTGATCTGTGAAGAATGAGAGTTAGTCTTTTAACAGGACCCCAGGTTTTGGCTTTATAGATTTTCTGTCTACGGAGAATACAGCATTTTCACCTGCTGCTGGGCTATTGAAAAGTACATGTCTGACTTTTGTATTTTTGCAAAGATTTATAACTTAAAAAAAGAAATAAACAAAGAAAAAAAAAGGTAAAAGCAGATTCATATGGTAAATGATTAGCAATGAACACAACAAATTTAAATTCCCACAAAATTTGATTCAACGCACGTAGGACAAAAATGAAGGCTCGTCCTGCTTTCTTCTTTTCTTTTTTTGTTTTTTAAATTTATGCAAAAAACTAAAAATAAATAATAATAATTAAAATTTTAATGTAAATAAGAAAATATGACATGTTTCCACAACTCTTTCAGCTTATTTTTTTTAAATTCCCCAAAATATTTGATTTGTGAAGCACTAAAGACTAAACTGGGGGCTCATCCTGTTTTCTTTTCTTTTTTTTTTTTTTTTGCTTTTTAGAATTATGTAAAAACTAAGAATACATTATAATAATTAAAATTATAATGTAAATGAAAAAATATGAGGTGTTTCCACAACTTTTTTAGCTTGTTTTTAAAAATTCTCCAAAATATGTGATTGAGAAGCTATAATGGGGGCTGGTCCAGTTCCATCGTATCATTACAAGCTCCTCGGTTTTTACTTGATTATATGTTTACGGTTTGATTACAGATTTGATCGATTTTCTGTCTGTATACAGAGTAGTGGCTTTCACCTGCGCGTGCTCGTATGCAGACATCTTTTTTGTGGTGTTTTTTTCTCTGCGCTGATGTAAAAGGCTGATATGTGCGAGGAGGAGCTGGTGGCCCTGGACTGAGTGTGGCTCAGTCCCACGTGGTGAAGGCAGCAGCCGAGGAGCAGACCTGACAGCTCTGCACCGCCCAGGACCTCACCGGAAACACTACACACAACTGCATCCTGGTCGCACACACACACACACACACACACACAGAGACACACAAATGCACAGAGACACGCGCGCTCACATACACACATGCAGAGACACACATACATACACACAGAAACACACACAAGAGAGACACACGCACTAACGCACACATGCATAGATATACACACACATATGCACACACACATAAGGCAAACACACACATACACACACAGAGACACGCACACTTGCACAGACATAGATGCACACACAAACACATAGACCTCCCCTCACACACACACACACACACACACACACACACACACACACACACACACACACACATAGACATATACACATACACACACAGTGACAAAAGCAAGCAAACACACCTATGCACACAGGCACACACAATACACGCACATGTGTCCAGACATAGACAAACATACACACACACAGGCACATATACACACAGATACACATACGCACACAGACACACACACACACACACACACACACACACACACACACACACACATACATACAGACACACAGATATAGATTCACATGCACAGACGTACAGATACCCACAGACACACACACAGACCCAGACCCACATACACGGCCCCCCCCCACACACACACACACATATATTGGCATGTGTCGGGTCCCGCCCACACAGATCCCCGCAGTGATAAGGGCCGCGCAGGTGTCGTCTTGTGTCTTGACAGAAGTGGGCTGTTTTATGTCTCATGAATGTAACTGGAGCTTTGATTAAGAAACAGAAGAACGCAAAGGTGAAAAACACAAGACTGTGTGACCGGACCAGGGTTCAAACACACACACGCCTGTTGGACAGATAAACTTTGGTGCTTGGACCTCAGGTAGAGATGATCACAATGTAAAAAGATCACTGATGATAGCTTTGTTGTGGATATGATCTCATAGTGGTGGTGTTAGGAGGAGATGGAGAGGCTGGGGTGACTCGTGATTTTGCTGCAGCAGTGAAAATGCTGCAATATGACTGAAGAGAGAGAGAGTGCTTGATAAAGAGATAAATAGAAGAGAATTTGGGAACTTTGGTGGCTTTCAGACCATTATACCTTAACACAACATTCACATTTTTCCTCTAATTTGCAATTGTAACTAAACAAATCAATTGCTGAAGTGTCATCCAGTATATGAGAAGAAAACGACTTGTACATTTGTAAAGACGAGAAAACACAAAACATGCTTTTATAGGACTTTCCCTAAACAACTTAATTACATTTTCTTCAGTGGATATGCAAATGCAATGGTGTTGTCACAATGTCACAACATTTCAAACTCAATTTTGATACTGAAGTATCGACCCAATAGTGATTTTCATACCCACATGATCATTTTAAAAGATAACAGATCAAACAATAGTGTTTGTTTAATGTTTTGTCTTACACTAGTTCTGATGTAACTCAAAATGAAATTGTTCAGGAAAGCTCAAATTTGAACTAGTTCTGTGACTTTTTAAAATATAGTATCCATTAGAGATACACCGATATATCAAGTCGATATTTGGACTTTTTTTGCCATCAGCTTTAAAAACAGCTTCATAAAGAATACACACACAATTTTATTTGACTCTTCAGAGCTGAAAGGGCACTGCTGAAATGTTCTGTGGTAAATTAAAATGACAGAATTAGGGAAAAATAATTAAAATCTGTCCCACATATTGGCCCAAAAATATCGGCAGAGTTCATCAGCCATTGGTTCTCTGGATTCTAACCATCTGCATCGGCACAGGTCATGAAAAAACCCCAAAACATATCGGTCAATCTCTAGTATCGACAAGTATCTGATTTTTGATTTGACTAGTATCTGATTTTCAAATACTCTAGACAAACTTACTCAAGACAAACAAACTTTATGAATAAAGTAACGTTGAACCTTGAATTCAGGTGTTTTTATAAAGCAGTACAAAACTCTCTCTCTTGTCCGGTGTCACACATCTCAAACTTTATAATGAATCCATTTTCTTCTCCTCTCCAGCAGAAGCCAATCATGATCCAGGGGCAGGATCACCTTCTCCGTCGGCAGAATCCTCCACCCCGAGCCCGCGCAGGACGGGCCCCGGCGAGCACGACCTGCTGACCTGCGGCCAGTGCCAGACCAACTTCCCTCTGGGGGACATCCTGGTTTTCATCGAACACAAGCGGCGGTTATGCAGGGGGCTCCGGAGTCCGTCGGGGTCCTTCTCCAAACCGGGCGAAGCTGGCGCCACCAACGGGCTGCCCATCTCCCCCCGCACCCGTCACCTGGAGCTGGGCAGGGGGCCGGTGGAGGTGGGGGTCCAGGTGTCACCGGGCGGAGACGACGAAGAAGAGAAGAGACTGACACCCGCCAAAGGAATCTGCCCCAAACAGGAGAGAGGAGGTACGGTCCTGTCACGTTTAAAAGTTTATATTTCACTACAGTTTCTCTGATCTGTGTTCTAATGTCATCACAAACACATCTGGAGTTGTGTTTTGTTTCATTCACATCTTTAACACACAAACCCTGTAGAATTTCTTCCCTGAAACTGAAAATACTTTGTTGCACCTTGTGATGTCATGTGGTAACACAGGGACCCCACACACTTTCACTAGAATCATTTGGATCATTTCAGCTGAAGAATTGCCTCTACAGAACTAAAGGAGATGTTCACTTGAAAACTACCACTGCATGACATCACAAGGTGGAACAGAGCGTTTTGAGCTTTGGACATGTAGACAGACTAATAATAAAATGTTACTCAAACATGTGAATGAAACAAAACACAACTCCAGCTCTGTTTTTGAGGAGGCAATGAAGTTATAACATGACTTTTTCATATTAACGTTTGCACATGTATTAGTTTAACAAAGAAATATTGTTGCTAAAAAGCTAAAAGTAATTGCTTCTCAAAAAAAAAAAAAATAAAAAAAATAAATAATGATATATATATGTGTTATATAACATACCGCATGTATCACCATAATATCGAATAGTGAGTCGTGTATATCGAGTATTGTATCGAATCATGAGGGACCCTGTGATCCCATCCAGAGTTACTTATAGTTTTAGCTTCACCTTTTGAAGCACGAAAATGTTCCTGTGAACTTTGTCAAATCCTGGTAACAATTTTTTTTTTTTTTGGTACCTTTTGAAAATAGACCTGTTCTAACTCAACTCTTGCCTTAGCGCTGTAGTGTAGAGCAGGTTAAAGGGCCCATATTACATCATTTTCTGATCTATGTTCTAATGTTTCCTCATCACAAACACACCTGGACTTGTGTTTTTTTTCATTCACATGTTTAACACACAAACCTGCACATTTAGGCTGAACTATGTCATTGTCATAATATGGAATCATGAGCTGTGTATCCAGTGGCGGAGTTAGCAGTTTGGGGGCCCTAGGTGAACTTGAGTTAGGGGCCTTCATTATAATTCACAGATTTTCTCTTTTGTTATGTTTTTCCTTTTATTTATTTATTGTGCACTAGGGTGGATTGGAAACTTGTCTTATAAGTTTGGTTGCCTAATAGATACCAGAACTGAAACTAGTTTTATTTTCTGCTAGTACAATTACATTTTTGTTTACAGCCTTTACAGATGATTATTTTTCTTATGATTATTGTTTAAAAGTAAAATTACTCTCATTTAATGTCATATTGAGAGAAAATCTAATTGTTCTGAGGCTTCAGCCATTAACGGCAGTGAGGGCAGTTGGTTGGGGGCCCCTCCAGGTTTGGGGGCCCTAGGCAGCCGCCTGCTTTTGCCTAATGGTAGCACCGCCTCTGTGTATATCGAGTATTGTATCGAATCATGAGCGACCCTGTGATTTTCAGCCAGAGTTACTTATAGTTTGAGCTTCACCTCTTCACCTGTTCCTGTGAAGGCTGTTCATGATCCTGGTCCCATTTTTTATTTATTTTTTGGTACCTTTTGAAAACAAACCTGTTCTAATTCAGCCCTTACCTTAACTCTGTAGCGTAGAGGAGGTTAAAGGGCCCATATTACTCCATTTTATGTCATTTCCTCATCACAAACAGACCTGCAGTTGTGTTTTGTTTCATTCACATGTTTAACACACAAACCTGCACATTTACACTGAGTTCTTCTCTAAAACTGAAAAAAACTCATCCATCTTATATCTTCTATATGTTTCTGATGAGGTAACAACATTAAACATGACTTAAAGCTCACAAGAGTCAGTTTTGTTTAATATAGGACCTTTAAAGAACTGATTTTTCCTCTTTTTTATTTTGACACTGGCCTTGAGGAGGGATTACTGTAGCCTGCTGTGATTTCATTAGACCTAAAGTGTGTCTATTCACCTATATTCTGAGTAACACACCGCACACTCCTTCATCTGAAACCGACTGTGCGAAGGCGAAGAGGGAGGCGACAGAGGACCGCCCCCAGTGGTGTGTCTATGCGACTGCACGTGACATGTCTTTGTAAAGAGATCCTGCAGCATCTTATAAAAAAAAGCAAAAGCAGGCTAAGAAAGCTGATTATAATGTGTGTGTGTGAGGAGAAGAGGATTAATACGAAGCAACGAAAGTTCAAAGTTATCACCGGAGACAGTCGCCATAGCGCCCGAAGCAGGAAGTGAGGGCAGGCGGGATTACACCAGATCTGGCAGGCTCAGAGTGTGTCCTGGGTCACGATCAGGGTATTGGACTCTTATAAACTCCGTAGGCTGCGGTTGTGGGAGTGGATTAGGAATTAGCACAACTGGTCACTACAGAGAGAGTCGTATGGGCGATAAAAGAGGGGACGGCGTGTGTGGAGTCTTATCTGTTTTGGAATTTGAAGGAAGTAAAGGATGAAAAATGGGGGCGCGTTCAGTCATGTGTAGTGATAGAACGTAACGGAGTAAAAGTAGAAAACATTGTAGGCATTTGTACTTTACTTTAGTGTATTTAAAGTGGTTTCTTTTTACATCTGTACTTTCTACTCCTCTACATTTTAAAACAGGACTGAAAAGTAGTAGAAAAATATTTTTATCATAGTTTGAGACCTGCTGAAAAGGCTGGAGGTTTATTTTTAACATGTTCATAGTTTGAACAAACAAAAATATGCAAAAAATTTAAAATGGGGACAAAATTTGAAGCTTTATTAGACCTCAAATTCTGTGCAAACAACTGGTCACTACAGAGAGAGTCGTATGGGTGATAAAAGAGGAGACGGCGTGTGTGGAGTCTTATCTGTTTCGGAATTTGAAGGAAGTAAAGGATGGAAGGATAAAAAATGGGGGCGCGTTCAGTCATGTGTAGTGATGGAACGTAACGGAGTAAACATTATAGGCATTTGTACTTTACTTGAGTGCATTTAAAGTGGTTTCTTTTTTACTTTTCCTTCACTACATTTGAGAGCAGGAATCTGTACTTTCTACTCCACTACATTTTAAAACAGACTAAAAAGTGAAAGTAGTTTTTATTGTAGTCTGAGACCTGCTGAAGAGGTTGAGCTTTTATTTTTTAACATGTTCGTAGTTTGAGCAAACAAAAATACGCAAAAAATAAAAACAGGGACAAAATTTGAAGCTTTATTAGACCTCAAAATCTGTGCAAAACACTTCTACTTTTTACTCTTTACTTATACTTTAATACTTTTACTTAAATAGATTTTTTCGTGTGATACTTTTTTGCTCCAGTATCTGTACTTTTACTTCAGTAACAAATAGGAATGGTCCAAGATTTCGTACCACAAGATCTCCTGAAACAAAATTGCTACAAGATCGTGCACAAATGAGAAAAAAAGATCTTGTGAGATTTTTTTCCCAAGTGTTTACATTTGGATTGGACAAAAAATGTTGGTGAGTTACATCTTAAACAGTTTCAAAAAACAGTACTAGGATGCAAACAAAACTATGAAATGAAAACCAAATTGTGAGGCCAAAATTGGAAATGACGTTAAAATCTCGTCTTGTCTCGTTCTCGTGGACCCAATCTCATATCTTAGTTCATGGAAATTTTGTCTCGTCACACCCATAGGAACAAACTGTAGAACTTCTTCCACCACTGGTAAATTTGGAAGTTTCTATTTTTGGGCACATTTTTGTCGACCGTCAAATACAATATTTATTCATGTTTTCAAATAATGACAGATAGTATTTCCTAGTTTTTTTACACTTAATTTTTGTAATCTAATTTTGTCATTATGCATTTTTATTTGAAGTGAAGTTTATGTCGTGTTATTTGGGTTTGACTCTTGGTTTGACTCTTGACTTTGTTCAATAATGACTTTGAATAATGAAATATTTCTTAAATATGTGTAAAAATATTTCTTACCACACTTAAACTAACAATAATGATAACATATATATATATATATCTGGTTAAAACTTTAATATAATCTAGTACATGTAAAATGGTCACAAGTAGATGTAATAGTAATAGTAGTAGTAGTAGTAGTAGTAGTAGTAGTAGTAGTAGATGGGCATACTGTACTTTCATACTTTTTTGTGCTCTTATTTTCTGGCTAGTTTTCAATAATATTTACATAACCAGCTCTGAATCATGTGCTTTCTTGTAGCGAAATATGCATAACTTAACATCAGTAACCAAATACACACCTGAACATTTGTTAAAAAGGTCTAATTTGGAACCATACAGTGATTTTAGCTCATCTACGTTACATTTATTCAAACTTTTTGTCATATATTTTAAAAATTTTCAGCTATTTTTTCTAGTTTTGGGTGACAAAAATAGGGCTTGTCTGTATATGACGGCCCACAAACTACTATTTTGGATCATTTCTATATGTGTTTTTTATTTTTGATCTAAGTTATAATGTAGTTTCCTCATCACAAACCTCACTGCAAAAAAACCCCTCCAAAAAACAAAAAACTAAACAAAACAAAATCTTGCTAAAATCAGATGATTTGAATTAAAGTTTTGATCATGTTTTGAGTAAATTTCACTTGACAAGTTAAATGATTTGCCAGTGGAAATAGACTTTTTGTACTTAAATATGAAAATACTTCTCACTACACTACAACTTTTTGCTCTTAAAATAAGTATTATTAAGAAATTAGAATTAGGTTAAGAATAAATGAAGAAAGACACATTTATTTCATCGGTAGATCATTTGAATTGTCAAGTTGAATCGACTCAAACAAAGTCAAATGTTCTTAATTTAAGTCATTTTCATTTAGTTGGATACTGTTTTTTTTTTCCAGTGCTGGAGTTTCATTCACATGTTTAACACACAAACCCTGCACATTTAGGCTGAGTTCTTCTCTCAAACAGAAAACACTCTGTTCCATCTTATGATGTCATGTGGTAATACAGGAAGTGCTCCACTGTGTTTCTAAACTCCATATCCCGTTTGGATCATTACAGATCTGGAATTGCTCGTCAGTGTGATTAAAATGTGATTCAAATGTGATTAAAGCTGTCTCATAA